GTGTTTTCTAATCTGGGGGGAAGGATTTTAAATTGAAAGTTAAAACAACAAGGGTATGATGGGTTATAGGGTGATTTGCGGTGCCCTTCCCATTGACTCCACCAAAGTCTTGCTCCTTGAACACTGTTACTGTCGCCATGACTGGTCTTTCTTTTATAGTTTCCTTGAGTCTCTATTAGTTGCGAGTATGGAATTCCACTTCCTCATTACTTAAAACCTCAGAAAGCAGACTGATTAAAGGCTGTCTCTCTAAACTGCGGCACCCAGTCAGCCCTAGCAGATGCCCTTGTCCTACTGCCACTGTCGAGATAGGCCAGGCATCCTCTAAGGGTGCTTTCACACCAGCCCTGTTTGGTTTGGTTCAATCTAACTCAAGTTAGTTTGCCCCCTAAGTGCGGTTTGTTTGGGGAGGTGTGAACACAGCAATCTCACTCAGGTGCGCACCAAAACCACCGGACCGAGACCTTCTTGAAGAGGTGGTCTCTGGTGCGGTTTGTTTGTGGTGAGAACGTGTTCCGACCTCGATCTGAACCAACTGCAGTCACATGACACATTGTTTAAGGGAAATTTAAGGGAGTCACACCTGCCTGTGACTAGGTGGTTTTGCAGTAAGAGAGATGAGGGGAAAAAGATCATAGTGTGTACAGATAGCTGTGCAGCAGTCGGAGACAACTGGTGTCTGATGCTCTTAAAATGATTCAGATTAAACTTAACGTCGCTGATGGCCCTACTTACTTGTTTTTTGAAGTGTGTGTCAATTATAATGCCTGGATGTTTACCATGTGCTACATATTTGATGATGTCACCATTAATAAACACGTCAGCAAACTGTTTTGCTTACATGAATGTCAGAGATCTGTCAGCTAGCCAGTCCGACAGCTTGCTCATTGACGCTGTCAGTTTGGCTGCAGCATGTTCTGTAGATCTTGTATCAGATGCATGACGCGTGTTTTCTCTCTCCCTATGCTCCACTCCCACTCAGGTGTTTGGCACCTTGGAGGCAGCCAAAGAGAAATACCAGATTGAAGATTACTGCGTGAGCCAGATATCACTGGAGCAGGTGTTCCTCAGCTTTGCCCAGTTCCAGCATTGCACAGAGAGTCGGAGGAAGTGAGAGGAGCGAGGAGTCCGTCCATCCATTGTCCATTTTCTCCAGTGGTGTGTGTGTGCGGGACCTGTGTGCACAGACTTGCCCCGATTACACAGCAGGTGTGTACACAGGCTGGAGCAGGTTTATCTCCAGCTCCGTTTTTACCTTCATCAACAACACACACACACTGGGCCAGTCGCATCAACTTCAGCATTTCTACTACTGTACCAGGTCAGTGTGTCTTCGTCGGGTCATTGATGCCGTTGTTATTGTTGTTGTCGTGTGACAAAGACGTCGGAGAATTAAGACATGTGCTGGACGATGATGATAACAAGTCATGAACTCTCGAGTACTGCACCTTTTTAGTGAGGTCAAAGACACCACTCATTAGATACTACCACTACTCTGAACTGTGTGTGACAGGGTTTGTTTGTGTGTGTGCACTTATGCATTTTTTGTTATTTATGATTTGATTTTATTTCTTGATTATGTTTCCAAGACTTTGTGCTCTGTTTTTTTTTCTGTGATCATCAATCATCACAAGAGAATGAACCACTCCATTGGATACCTGTATGAAATCATTGCACACCTTTGCGCCTTATCTAACCAATGAGGGTTGTTGTTTCTTTATATCGCCCTATACAAAATGCCTGGTTATCCTTAAGAGCCTCTTAATGTCGTTGCCAGATGTAAATAATGTGACATGTTCATGGTACTAAAAGAAAAACCACTTACTTGTTCAGGCCAGAGCAGAACATTTACTCATTTAAATACTGTTTTGGGCACATTAACGAATGCATGTATACAATACGACTTACAGAGTGCATGATACTGGAAGAGCAGAGAGCTGCTAGTGTTTACTAGAAGACCGTCCTTACTGAAGATTAATCCTCAGAGTACATTCAGTCCGATCTGGATATTTGATAAACCTCTATTGTTCAGGTGTTTGTGAAACAATGTTTTGGTTTTCCTGCCAAACAGGTTACGGGAACAGCGTGTTCAGTCCACCCATTACAGTTTACTTGCGAGCTATCTTGGAAGAAATCATTGTGTGACGCAGATTATTTTTTGAATGTTGCAGTAAAACGGGAAGTCTTGGCTGCAAATTAAGTCGTATCAGACTGCATGTAAATGACTTAGACCTGAAAACAGCAAGACTTCAATGACCTATGAGGTGTTTTTGTACATTTTGTTTCCCTTTTTTCTTGCAGCTATGCATTTTACATGGTACACCTGTGTGTGTGTGTGTGTGTGTGTGTGTGTGTGTGTGTGCGTGTGCGTGTGCGTGTGCATGCGCGCATGAGAGAGAGAGAGATGGGGGTGTAAAAAGAGTATGGCAACACGATTCCTGAATTCACCCACACCTTTCTGAGGCTACACCCACGCTAATGCATTTGTTTTAAAATGAATATCTATCGCTACGTTCGTTAGCGTGGATGTAGCCTGCAGTCCTCTAATAGTCCTTAAATATTAAAACCAAGAGATTGTTATTGCGCTGTGGACAAACTGTACTACTGTGTCATCTTTAATGTCAAGCTGCTCCTTCAGGAAACGCCAGGAAATGCAATAACAAAGCCCAACAATGGTATAGATGATAAAAACGCATAAAATGGATGCCTTGTCCTGAGAAAGAATGATCAGCGCAATGTTTGTTCCTCTTTCATTTGGATGTGCTACTATGAAACCTCTTTTCAAAACGAGCCCGATTTATCGCTGTCTCAAAGCCTAGTTTGTGCTTTAAGAAAGTTGTAAAAAGATTAAAATATTCTGTGTGAATATTTCCCCCCCAAAAAGATGAGAACTGTATCGTAGATCCTGCTTTTCATCCATGTTAGAGATCAATATTATAATCCGGGATCTATCAGAAATTGTACTAACTTTAAATGACATTCCCACTCTCAAGAAAATCACTCTGACTTCACAGAAGTGAGATGAATGTATTCACCGTCTTACACAAAAGCAAAAAGCACTCATGTTATTCAGCTTTACTAACCGCTTTATGTGATTCACAGAGCTTTCTTCATGTCACCACATGTGCGTGTGAGAAAGAAAGTAAGAGACTGACATTCCAGGAAGACACAGATATATGTGGCTTATTGGTCTTTAAAGGATTTGACCTCCTAATTTTGACTTTTGTTACATTTGTTTGTGTATTTGCACTTTTTTTTTCTCATTACATGTACGACTTGAATCAATTGCAATGTTAGATACATAGTGAAAGGAGGACGATGTTGGAAGGATTGAGTTATGCTGAAATGCAGTGTATCATATTAAAAAAAGGGAATTTACATCATTGTAATTGTGTACTGTACTGTACCATGAAACTGACATTGTCAACTGTATATGTATCGCTATTCTTTTTAAATTAAATAATGCTCTATGCAAATGGTAGCAAGTACCAGTGCCTTTTTTTTCCAGCAAGTGACACTTCACACCTTTGTTGAGTCTATTTGCATGGCTTACAAGAACTACATGGGAAAATATTTATATTATAACCCTTAAAAACATACCTTTTTTGGCCTTTGAGAGGCTACCTGTATTGAAAAAATACAAAAATATATTTCACATGATGCCACAGCTTGTCATGGAGACGGATTATCCAGGGTGGCACTGAACTTATCCTTCATCCTCTGTCCAGTTCCAGCCCAACCACAAAGCTAGGACTATACAAGCCAGGAAGTCTTCGATGGTTAAGGCACCTTCCTCAACCTCAAGAAAAGATTGAAGAGGTATTGGAATACTGTTGCAGGCTGCTAAGTATGCCCTTGGATCGATGTTGCCTGGCCCACAAGCTTTGTTTATTCAAAACCTGGAGGGCTGGGAGAGGGGGCCTTCACCAAACTACTTCCTACGTCCTCTCCCTACCCATTGTCAATCCATTTCCATGTTCACACTTCAGGTCTGCCACATTAAGCGACATCTAAAACCAACTAGCGGGCAGCGTAAGTGGGTTATGAAACCCTCCAACAGGCTTACTGACCATGTGCAACGCTGTATTGAGTTCATCACGGAAGACACTCCATACAAAAAAGTTCCATACGACCACCTTAACAAACACAAGCCTCTCAAACTACAATATACAATTAATATTGTCATACAGGAGCTCGGATATATAGAGGGAGCTCGGAGTAGAGCTGCTGCTCCTTCGCATCCAAAGGGGTCAGTTGAGGTAGTTCGGGCATTTGATCAGGATGCCTCTTGTGTGCCTCCCGCTGGGGGTGTTCCAGGCACGTCCCACTGAAAGGAGGCCCCAGGGCAGACCCAGAACACACTGGAAGGATTACATATCTCATCTGGCGTGGGAACGCCTTGGGGTTGGTCCCCCAGTTGTTTGGTCAGGTAGAAGGGGGGTCTGAGGGCATGCTTTTTCCCCATTTACAGCAGCTATATACGCTATCTATCTTTCAAGCCATTCGAGATAATGGGATGCCTGAAACAAGACATCGTCGGCATAAAGTGAGATTTTATGCTGGGTTTCACCGACACTTAAACCCCTTACAGTTTAATCCTGCCTCGCAGCCTGAGCTAAAGTTTTTACTGCAAGGGCACAAAGGGCAGGGCTAAGAGGGCAGCCTCGACACATTGAGGGGTGGATTTGGAAACTGTTCAATCTTTAATTAGTTGTGATGACTGAAGCCAAGGATTTGTTATTAACATCTAATGAGCTGTCCGATCAGATGAGATGCCAGGAGTTCCCCATCATCCCGAGTCTATGGTGGAGGGTGCTTGGCACGAAAGCCTGCGGCTGCCTCACTCCTGTCACCTATTCTGTTATTCTTTGAGTTTGTTAAACAACAAAACTCAACCAAACAAGTTCTTCTCCTTTTGTTGCCAGGTCTGGCTCACCTGTGAGTTAGCAGAGCCCAGGAGGGCGGGTGGTAAACCTAGCCTTATAATTTAGATGCAAGGACAGTTTAAGGACAGTTGTTCAGAGTGTAAACCTCTTCTGTTAACTGCAGGGCTTAGTGAGAGCAGCGTCATCAACAGCCAGAGGAATGTCTGTTTTAGGGGACTTTATTTTCTTCCTTTTCTCCAATCCCACCACCTGGTTGGGGGTTGTTGTTCTCCTGCTCGTCCTCTATCTTGTTTCCAGCAGTGTCACCTTCCAGGAGATGAGGAAGGGGCCTCCGGGACCAAGGCCTCTTCCCCTGCTTGGCAACCTGTTGCAGCTTGATCTCAGCAGACCCTACAAAACCCTCTTTCAGGTAAGTTAAGCACTCCTATGCTAAAATAAACACATTTTGTAACAGCTGCAAGGATTCATTTGAATGTCCGTATACTGTCTCTGACACATTTGACTACTTTTTACATTTTTCTAGCTTTCAAAGAAACATGGGTCGGTGTTTACAGTGTACCTTGGACCCAAAAAAGTGGTGGTCCTGGCTGGTTACAAGACAGTCAAAGAGGCTCTGGTCAGCTACGCAGAAGAGTTTGGAGACAGAGAAATCCTCCCAATTTTTTATGATATGAATCTTGGTCATGGTAAGACCTACCTTCACTAAATTTTTAATAAGCGGTTTGTTTGCATATCAGCACAAAATCATGACCAAGGCACCTGTGTAATATTGTGATTTTTCAGAGTCTTTAAAAAAATGTACATTTAAGGCCTCTGAGGGGCAAACGAGGAGAACTTGTTTAGACGCATCTTCTGGGCAACAACAATAAACCAATGTCCAATTCATCTGGCTGATGAAAAGAAGAAGAAGACTTTATTGTCATTGTGCATTGCACAACGAAATTACATGTAGTACCCTCGGCAAGATAACAGCACAATAAAAAGAACAGACAGTACATAAATATAAAAAGACGTCAGTAAGATATAAAAACAATAAAGTGCGTGAGAGACATATCAGCAGTATAAAAACTTTGATAAAAGAGGCAGCAGGCAGTGTAAAAACAGCAGCAAGGTGAGGTAAAGTGCAACGGTGCAGTTCAAAGAGCAAAGGTCAGTTCCTCAGTTTGGGGCTGGTGTGTATGTGAGTGCAGGGGGGTTGATGGAGGCCACAGCCCTGGGGAAAAAGCTGTTCCTCAGTCTATTTGTCCTTGCTCTGAGGGCCCTGTACCTCCGTCCTGAGGGTAGGGGAGAGAACAGTCTGTGACCCGGGTGGGTGGGATCTGTGGCGATGCTGCTGGCCTTCCTCTGGAGGCGGCCAGCGTACACCGAGTCCAGGTCTGGGAGAGGACTTCCCACAATCCTCTGGGCTGTTCTTACCACCCGGGCCAAGTCCTTTCTGTCTTGTGCCGTGCAGCTGCTATACCAAACGGTCATGCCAAGACAGAGGATGCTCTCGATGGTGCTTCTGTAAAAGTTTGTCATTAGCCTAGAGGGGAGTCCGGCCTTCCTGAGCTTCCTCAGAAAGAAGAGTCTTTGCTGAGCCTTCTTTACTAAGTGCATGGTGTTCAGAGCCCAGGTGAGGTCAGCTGTGATGTGGATTCCCAGGAACTTGATGTTGTCCACACGCTCCACTACCTCCCCCGTATGAGTAGTGGAGCGTGTGCTGTTCTTCTGGTCGCCCTGTAGTCTACAATGACCTCTTTTGTCTTGGCGGTGTTCAGGACCAGGTTGTTGTCCGAGCACCACCGAGCCAGGTGGTGGATCTCCTCTCTGTAGTGAGTCTCATTATTGTCTGATATGAGGCCCACTACAGTGGTGTCGTCGGCGAATTTGACAAAGGTGTTGGAGGCATGGATGGGGTGCAGTCGTGTGTGAAGATGATGAAAAGGGCCGGGCTGAGCACATAGCCCTGCGGCGCACCTGTGTTAAGGACGAGTGTGGATGATGTATGAGCTCCTATTCTCACCGCTTGCGGCCTGTTGGTGAGAAAGTCACTGATCCATGAACACAGTGGGGTGGGCAGGCCCAGATTGCGAAGTTTGAATACCAGTTTATGGGGGATGAGTGAAATCAATAAATAGCATCCTAACATATGTGTTTGGCTGCTCCAGGTGAGAGATGGCTGTGTGGAGTGCTATGGAGACTGCGTCCTCTGTGGATCGGTTCCCCCTGTAGGCAAACTGGTGGCTGTCCAGGTCAGGGGGGAGACTGTCCTTGATGTGTTTCAGGATGAGCCTCTCAAAGCATTTCATCACAATGGGGGTCAACGCGACTGGGCGGTAATCATTGAGGCAGGTGACAGCTGACTTCTTAGGCACAGGTACAATGGTGGATGATTTGAGGCAGGTGGGGACTGTGGCTAGCTGCAGGGAGAGATTGAAAATGTCCAAAAATACACCTGCTAGTTGGTCTGCACATGACTTCAATGTGCGGCCTGACACCCTGTCTGGGCCAGCAGCCTTGGTGATGTTGATCTTCCTCAGTGCGGATTTCACCTGATGACGCTGTAGGATGAGAGTCTGCTGCTGCTGCCCCTCCTCAGTCTGGGCGGGTTGGACCATCACTCTGCTGCCTTGTGTGTCAAAGCGTGCAAAGAACTGGTATAAGGTGTCAGGGAGTGTTCTGTCATGGCTGATATGCACATTGCTGCACTTGTAGTCCATCATGGTCTTGATGCCTTGCCACATGCTCCGGAGGTTGTTGTTGTCAAAGTGTCCCTCGATGCGCTGCTTGTACCTGTGTTTAGCCTCTCTTATGCCCTTCCTCAGGTCTCTACGGGCCTTGCTATAAGACAGAGTGTCACCTGACCTGTAGGCAACATCTCTGGCTTTGAGCAACATACGCACTGTACTGTCCAGCCATGGTTTCTGGTTTGGAAACGCTTTGAAGCTTTTGGTTGATAAGACAGTATCTGTGCAGAAGTGTACATAGGCCAGGACAGCTGATGTATATTCCTCTAGATCTGCACCCTCCTTGAAAACTTCCCAGTCAGTGTGCTCAAAGCAGTCCTGAAACATTGAGGTGGCTTCCTCGCTCCAAACTTGCACAGTTTTGACAGTTGGTCTTGCCCTGCAGATGAGAGGTTTGTAGGCTGGGGTCATTTCCAAAGAGATGTGATCAGACATGCTAAGGTGTGAGGATGCTGCAGCCTTATATGCCCCTGGGATATTAGTGTAGACCTGGTCCAGTATATTAAAGCCGGGAGCACCAAGCCACTGCGTCTGCACGCGCCGCCATCAAACCTCAATTCCCATCAAACCTCAATAGGTAATCAGTCTATATACAGTAGACTTGTTCTAATCAGAGCTGAATCAGTTGATATTGTGCACCTCCTAATGGTTTATTGATTGTTTTTGCCGTTTTCTAGCAATGCTTTCATGCGTAACCCTATGCAATGTGAAAATAATAACATCAGCCTACCTCCTCTCACCTGCAGCAGGTAAATCCACTCTTGGAACCAGTGACAGACTCAGGATGTTTGAAGGGCAGGGGTGAAAAGGAAAAAAGGGTACCTACTGCATGACATGGGGACAAAAGGGCAGCTAAAAGGGCACATCCACTCGTTTTCATTCAGTAGGGCACATCGTCTTGTTTTGATCACTCAAGAGGGAAGCCAAAAGGGCACATCCTCTCGTTTATGTTAATCAAGAGGGCAGCCCTGACCTCCCCTGAGTCCATCAGTGCTCGGAACAGCCCCACTGAGCACCAACTGGAATTTCAACAGTTGATTTCTATTTGAAAACTGGTTGATATTCGGCCTGAACATCTAAGACCTCTTTTCACTTTCTTTTCAACCAGCTAAAATGAGGTCACATCATCAACAAGTCAAAATTACACGAAAATTTAATTTCAGATCTTTATGTAGAACATGATTTGAGTTTACTGCTGTAATGCGCATGCGCAATTAGTTTGCCGTTACAGCTTAAATGAGTTCAAATGTACAGACGTCTTGCGGCTCACCGGGACTGTTGGACCGAGGAAAAGGAGCTGACGAAATAAAGGCGACTCTTTACGCTACCTTCATACTTTGTAAGTGCATGTGCTACTGCATTTCAATAAAGCAAAACAGAAATCAGCGTTATTAGTTTTATTTTATGCCACTCACGATGCGGGCTAGGTTGCTGTTGTGCCAAGCCAGCTTGCTTGTTGTTAGCATGCTAGCTAATAGTTGTCATTTTGGAGCCTAAGAAATCACATCCATATTTCTCAGTTGAAAGGCAATATTGCAAGTCCTGGTGGTATATGGTCTAAACGTAACAGGCCAATTCACGTCTTCAAATAGTCGGTGAAAAAACTTTAACTTTTGCGCCATTTCTGAATACCTTCTAAACCTCACAATGCTCACTGTAATAAAAAACTGTAAACGTGGTATGTGTATAGCAGCATACAGGTTACATACTTAGTCATATTCACACATTAACAACTTCCACTTAAAAGATAAAGAAGACCATGTGACATATACTACAATACATTTGTATTTATTAAGCAACAATTCATGAAAAATGCTATTTAAATACAATTACAATGAAATAGACAAATACATAATTGATGCAGGGTCCCTCTGGTTTGTCCCTCTGGCTGTAGGAAGAAGTTTGATATGGTGGAAACCTGTAATGAAAGAAATGGTATTACTGTAATAAAGACTGTGTTATAAACAAATATATTTTTACTGAGGCAAGGGTGAATGTCCATCATGGGTTTGATATCTTTGAGCATAACTGTAATTTCTGTAATTGCAGTATGAAATACACGACTAAGGATAAAACATATTACATTACACAGTACTATTCTCTAAATTGTTTGTATGTTGCAGTATGACAAACGTTTTGTTTCCACATTACTTTGCTGTAATATTATTTACTCCCTCTCATGTCCAGTCCCCCCTGACAGCTACAGCTACAAGCTAGCATGCTAACACCAAGCTAGCTTGGCATGACGGCAGCCTAGCACGCATCGTGAGCGCCATAAAATAAAACAAAATAAAAATAATGCTAATTTCTAATTTGCTTTATTGAAATACAGTAGCACAGGTACTTATTAGTATGTATGAAGACTCGTGTTTATTTTGCCAGCTCCTTCCCCTTGGTCCGAGAGTCCGGTGAGCCCATGGGTGAGCCACAAAATGTCTGTACATTTGAACTAGTCCAAGCTTACGCATGCGCATTACAGCAGTAATCACAAATTGTGTTATTTTACATGAATGATGACGAATGTACAGATCACTGGGAATAACCAGTTTTTAGGTGGCTCTTTGCCAATCAGCTTTTCAGGTCATTTAAATAAAGAAAAAAATATGTTTCAGATATAATAGTTTAAAGAAATGTTGCTTCCAGTGTGTGTATATTTACATATAAGGCTATCTAGTATTTTCAGGATTGTTTTTTTGTAGATATTAGCCCATATAAATGAATACATATAGAGCATGTGTGTGTCCAGTATGTACGAAAGCAACAGCAGCAGCAGTCTCATCTTCCTCCAACCATTGAATAAATTCCACCGTATAGACCAAAATTAACAAGAAATCCATCCATTTTCTTTTGGTTATGTTATGGCATAATTTAACTTAGCAAATCTGAGTACAGTATCAAATATATACAGGACTTGTGCAGGTTAAATTTAACTTGAATGTCAAGTTTATTAACAGGAATTCTGTTTGCAAATGGAGAATCATGGAAAGAGATGAGACGCTTTGCCCTCACCACCCTGAGAGACTTTGGGATGGGCAAACGAATGGCTGAACATAAAATCCTGGAGGAATGCCACCATCTGATCCAAATGTTTGAAAAGCATAAAGGTATGTGGTGTTTAAGTGACAACACGACAGGACATTCTGATATACAAAAAGGAAATTTTAAGGAAGTCTATTATTTACGATATTTTTGTAGCCAGCGTACGTCACTTGTTTGTTAGTACAAAACTGTATTTGTCATTGTGTACTTTAGTCCTAATGCTTTTGTTATTTCTCACTGCCTGTTTACAGGGAAACCATTTAATACAGCACGCCTGGTGAATTATGCAACATCCAATATCATTTGCAATATTGTGTATGGAAGCAGGTTTGAATATGATGATCCTCAATTCACAAACATGGTGACGCGAGCCAATGAGAACATACGTGTTGTGGGCTCTGCAGAAATCCAGGTGGGCTTCGTATAAAATTGCTGCTGTTTAAAGATTACACACAATCTGTAGTAACTGACAAATTATCTATGATAAAATTAAGTAGCAGTGTCTAAGATTTTGGGGGATTTAGTGGTATCTAGTGGTGATGATTGCAGATTGTAACCAGTTGAAACTTCTCCCAGTTAAGCCCCGTTTCCACCAGACACTTTTAATATGGTACCTTTGGAACCAAAAGTAACCCTTCAGACATGGAACCTAGACCCTAGAGTTTCCACCGTAAACAGTACTCTTAAATGTGGGTGGGGTTGTTGTTACTCACTGCTCCATCCAGCACTCACTGTATTTCCTCATTACTGGTGACACACATGGAAGTCTGCACCTACTTTACTGCCCACAGAACGAGGCTGCACGCCAACAGAACAAATAAAACAGGCTCCAGTGAGAGTCTCTCTCCGTGGGATATTTAAAAATAGTGAGTCCTAAGGTAAGCGCAGGGGCTTAGTGTTGCTGTAGCCCACAGGAAAGACTTTTGGCGATGCCTTTTTTTTCTCTGAGTGAGGATTAGAATACATGCAGTTCTCATAACCTGGTTAAATTAATATATATTCCTAAATGACTGAAAATCCACACATTACTAAAAGTGTATGTCATCCAAGGGACACAATGAAAACTAGTTGTCATCCTGAAATTTAAGGTGTGTTGATAGATTTACATCATCACCTCATGCATTGAGTAACATTACAAGTAGACTTTCCACCATAAAAGTCTCCGGCAGTCTGCCCAGTGGATTAAGTTATTTCTTCTCAGACTCCAGCTGCTGCAAGAGGCAGCAAAACATCCTTTCATTTTATAGTTACAGTCTAATAAAACTCTCCACGGTATGAGCAGTGGTTACGCGAGCCTCAAAACCAGCCACAACTCAGCCCTAAGCAGAGTGACCGTCCTCTACTGACCAATCAATGGACTGCAGTGTTCACAGCTCCACCTTTTAGTACCAGATCTGTGTGCTAGGTACCCCAATAGTTGGTTCCATTGGTACCATCCACAACTTTTCACAGTGGAAACAGAAAAAAAGCATACAGAACTGATTGCACCAAACTGACTGTTTCGTTGCAGCTTTACAACATGTTTCCCAGGCTGGTCAGTTGGGTAAAAAGCCGACAGCTGATATTAAAAAACACTGAGACAACTGTAAGAGAAGTCAAAGATTTATTCAAGAGTCTGAAAGAGACACTGAACCCTCACGTATGCAGGGGACTTGTGGACTGTTTTCTGATACGGAAGCAGAAAGAAGAGGTGAGACGACATCTTTTGTGTTTTTCATTTGACAGAAAGAAGAATAAAATAAAAAATTTTAATGATATGTGGGTGTTCTTTCTGTCAGGACTCCTCTGTTACAAACACTCGCTACCATGAGAACAACATGTTGTATACAGTGACTAACCTGTTTGCTGCTGGCACTGATACCACAGCGACGACACTGAGATGGGCTCTGCTGCTTATGGCTAAATATCCACATATACAAGGTAAGAAGGACAGAGATGAGGCTTGTGGATCTTTCCTGTCAGCAATAGCAGTTTAACAAAATATGAAGCTGTGCAGACATTGAGCATGGAGATGGTGGTGATGGTGTCTTTTTTAACATTCTAAGTCTTTTTTACTTTTTATTTCCACAAATTGTTTTTTGTAGTGACTTTTCATACTCGTTCCAGGATATATAAGACTCAGTTTGTCTAGACTGCAATATATATAGTTTGTTTGAGTTTAAACAAAGCAGAACTGTACAGCTGGTTAATAATCACATAATTTGTCAATTAAAGGGAAACATTTCCAAAAAGACTGAGAGAAAGTCAGTGTAATATAAGGTCCATCCCAATATCCCCCCTCAACTCCTCTATCCTCGATCACTTGACCCAGAATTCGATTGACACCCACCATCTTGAAGGATGTCTCAATTAGTTAAATATACCTGGGGGAGTCAAGAAGTCGTGGAGAGAGGAGGCCTACAGAGGAGAGGGAAGTGAGGATACACCAGTGCAGCCTTTGCAGAAGTCTTTTATCAACCGACACACCCCTCTGATTGGATATCAGTTATTGATTGGACAGTGCAGCACTGCAGCTGATGGGACTGATCTGATACATCACAATATCACCCGAGTTTCAAACCAGAGGGAAGACAGATAAGAGCTTAAACTCAAGTGTGTCACTCCCAAGTTTTATATCTCATTTGTTCTCCAATTCACCATCTAGTTAAAAATCCATATTCTGGGTTATTATTTCCTCTACAGCTTCCTTGAGGTTGACATTTGTTTTTTGGAGTGAAATGTCTCAACAACAGTTAGATTGTTATGAATCTTTGTGCACACATTCATTCCCCCCTCAGGATGAATTTTAATTATTTTGATGGTCCCTTAACTTTTGTCCAATACTGTAATTTATAACATTCCCCTCAACCAAAAGTACAGCTTCACAGAGCTGCTAGCCTGGCTGTACACTCATGTTAAAATGTATGATTTTGTGTCTTCAGACCAGGTCCAGGAGGAGATGGACAGGGTGGTTGGAAGTCGTGTGGTCCAGGTAGATGACCGTAAAAACCTGCCCTACACCGACGCTGTCATCCACGAGACACAGAGACTGGCCAACATCGTCCCCATGTCCCTTCCTCACAAAACCAGCCGAGACGTCACCTTCCAGGGCTACTTTATCAAAGCGGTGAGGCGCTCAGATGTTTGAGCACTTTTCCACAAAGAACAATAATTCATGGAATGTTCATCCACCTCATAAAACTTGATAAAGTGACTTTATATGATACACCTTGCTCTCCTCGTTTGGCTGCAGGGGACTACTGTGTTTCCTCTTCTTACTTCTGTTCTGTATGATGAGAGCGAATGGGAGGCGCCACACACTTTCAACCCTTCTCACTTCCTGGATGAAGAGGGTAAATTTACCAGGAGAGATGCCTTCATGCCCTTTTCTGCAGGTACAACTTTGTCAAGTTCTTGTTGTTCAGGGTATACAGAGATATTTTCACAGCATGATCCACACATACTGCAAATCTCTTCATTCCTGCAGGTCGCAGGGCGTGTCTTGGGGAAAGCCTGGCTAAGATGGAGCTCTTCCTCTTCTTCACATCCCTCCTTCAGCGCTTTTGTTTCACTCCTCCACCTGGAGTCACAGAGGATGAACTGGATCTGACACCAGCTGTGGGCCTCACCCTCGGCCCTTCACCTCATGAGCTGTGTGCCGTCAGTCGCCAATGAGGAAGAGAGCTGGAGCATGGCACTATAACTGCCTTTACTCAGCCTCACACGGGACCTAACATACTGAGCAGCCAGCAGATGTCTCCATCCGTAACAATACCATGAGACAGTTAACTTCAGTCACCTGAGACAGCACGCAAATGTTGTCATACATGGGTGCCCTCTTCCATGGAGGATGTCATGTTGTTATCCAGTGGCCTAGAGCAGACAAATCAAACACTGGCTGCAGATCAAGAGACTCTATTTAACTAGAAAATATAGGGCTGGTTTCACAGACAAGGTTTAAGCCTAGTGCCAGACTAAAATGCACACTTTAACGTACAGGGACTTGCACAGACATATCTTAAAATACATGTAGATTTAGCCGGTTGTGAATTAGACTAAATCGGTTGCAAGAAGGAGGATCAGATCTACTCTAGGACTGAATTTAAGTTTAAATTAATCCTCCAAGGAGACAGGTTCTGCTTAACAATGTTTGTGAGGGAGCATGGACTACTTGGTATATCTAAACGGAGCCAGACAAGCACTTGTTGATAGGACTAATCCACAGAATTACTTTGAGGATGACGCTGTCACATTGCAGCACTTCAGATGGATGAGATGCATATAAATGGAATGTATTTTTGCTTCGATACTGTTACTTTATGGTGATTAAAAGTGGTTCATTGTTGCTGGTATTCACAATTGTCTCATTACTGTATCTTTTTTGGATCATGGCTCTCTTCTCCAACTTCATTTCCAATTTAAGATGTAGAATTCTCATTTTCACTCTTCCTTCACACGTTTCACTTATGCTCATATTAAATCAATTCTCTAGCTAACTTTTCATGCATGGTCATCTTTTGTGTTCCCTGCTGAAAGGTGGTGGCAGCATCTTCATTCATGAATGGTATAACAGATGTGAAGGGGGGTACACACTGACTTGTTCATATTTCTTTTCTCTGGGAAAAAAAAAACACTCTTAAAAGCACACATAAACTCATGTAGTCCTTAGAATAATAGATACCAAAGGAAATAGCCAATTCACTTTCTTTAGTGTATTCACCATTTGTGCTTAGGTGTTCATCTGAACTGTCCAGAGGTTGCTGGTACTTTTTCTGAGGCCTACCACCAGTTGTAAATCGCTGTCTTCTCATGTCTGGAGCAGCAGGTAGTGGCCTCCATCCGTCAGCCCCCTCTCCAGGATCTGGGGGCGACTGAGGAAGGGAAACCCCTGCAATTTCATGTAACTTTTAATTTACTAACTGAACTTAAAGAGGAAGACACAATACTCCTGCAGTTTCATTTAACTTTAAATTTACTGAACTGAACTTAAAGAGGAAGACACAATACTCCTGCAATTTTGATACTGATATTTGTATTTTTATTTTATTCCTGTATTATTTATCTTGAATATTTTAAATTTTAGTACTACTTATTTTTGTATATATTTTATATTTCTATATACTGTTTGATTACTTGCTGCTATAACAAAAGAATTTCCTTGGGATCAGTAAAGTACTATCTATCTATCTATCTATCTATCTATCTATTTTTCTTGTCTTTTTTTTTTAAATTTATAACACTATAATACAAAATGCCACACAACACCGTCAACATTATACCAATATGTCTGTTTGTTTTTTGTATTATAGTGTTGTCCCTGCCATGTCTTTTACTTGTTTTGTACCTGCATCACCTAAAAAAAGTAAAGAAATGCTACCAAAGACGCTTGGGAGTAAGTTTTATTTTTTCATTTATTTATTTAACATTTTTTTCTGTCTCCCTTTTTCCCAATTTAAGTTTGCTTAATCTATTTAATTCATTTGCACCCGTGACTCTTCCCCTTTCGCATGCTCCTCTTGTTCTAACTCATTAAAATAAAACAAAATAAAATGCATACTTAAATAGAGTGAAAATCCAAAATTTATTTACAAAAAATGCTACCAAAGAAGCTTAGAAGTAAGTTTTATCTCTATTTATCTATCTATCAAGTTATTTATTTCTTTTAATGATGAAAATATAACATACAAAACTTAAGGTAAACAATAGCAGCACACAGAGATTAAATTTAAGTGTTATAGATACATATGAAGAACATGAAATGAGAGAAAGTTTTATTTTTCTCCATCGTGAAGAGCATTAAATTGGATTGTGCTTCATTACTCTCCATGGTTACGAACGGTCACGTCACTTCCTCTTTCTGCCACACGGGGGAAGTTTGGCTGCGGTCGGAAAGTCTTTTTTGCTTAGGAAGGTTCCTAGCTGAGTGAAATGACCTGGAAGTATTTTAGTAGAAAGAAAGAAGCGACGAAAGGTAAAGAAAAAGAACAACTGGCTCTCAACATGACTGAAAAGTCCCGGAGATCACCATGTAGCTAAGTCACCATTAGGCCTACATGAAGCTTTGCCCGTCTCATGCCATAACTTGATAATATGCGTAACGTTATATGTTCCAAACTCTCAACAAAACCATGCGAACTATAAACGTCACGCTACTGTTGTAACATTACCCAATTCAAGTTAATATTGTGGTGTAAGATATGCTCAGTTTCATTTTTCCTTTCTGCTCTCTCTGTGAATTGAATAGTTTACTCGTTTCTTGCATACGAACATCAGCAAACACAGAAAAGCTGTCCATTTAGGCAGAAGATATACTGTTAATTGCACAGGTGCACCTTCATCCCTATGTATGCTCTTGTTATTTGTTCTTTTTTTTCTGTGTTGTTATTGTCACTAATATAATGGAAAATCCAATGAACACAATTAAAAAAAATAAAATAAATAACTTCAAGGCACAATCATGTCAACATTTCAAGGTGTTTACTGAGTTTTGTGGTCGTTTTTAAACTATTGTAAGCAAATGACAAATGATGATTGATTGGCATATTAACCGAAGTTTGTGTTTTAAGAAAAAGGGATATGAAACGTTTTTATTTAGATGATGTTTTTAATTCAACATGTTTGCAACTTAAGAATGATATGTAGGCTACAGTAGTCGATTTGTAAGCCTAACATATTTGCCTCTCTGGCATACACTTGAACATTTGTCATAAATAATCACAGTGATTCAGGAGCGTAAGTGTGAGCAACCATTTCCAGTGTTTCAGTTTTTGTGACTGCCTATCTATCTTTTTTAATTCAATTCAGACGTTGGTAATTAAGTCATATTTTTCCACTGTGCTGTCCACGTTTATATAGCCTGCATGAAGCAACATGGTAAGTAGGCACGGGGCGGACTATCTGAGATGCGCTTTTTGTAGTCCATCCTTGGTAAACTGTAGTTTCACCACGGTCGACCTACGTCACTGACATCCGCCGTCGCATGATGACGTAGCCCAGCGTAAGTGCGGTCGGATTCTCTCATTGACATATAGGGTACGTCCCAAGTCTCTTATTTTATACTGCTAACTTCTAACTCCTTACTTGAACCGGAAGTCTTTCGAGCTCCGCCATCTTTAAGGCCGTCTCATGTCTCTTATTCCTGCCAGTAAGGAGTTAGCCTAAGCCGTTAGGAGGGATCTGTTAGGTGCGATGAGTAAGGTAACACGAGAGGTTCCTAACAGGAAGTCATTTTCAGCTTGAGGCCATGACGTATAAATACCTGCCCCCTTCGTCTGTCTCATTTGAACGAGATGGCGGAGAAACAGCACAAGTGTACCCGTTACATGCATTCTTTGCAATGAAACGCTGTAATTCACATGCCTACGTGACTACAAAGAGTAACGTTAATGATATTTTGTGCAAGACTGCCATGTTGTAATTAAGTTTATTTCATTCACAACCCGTTGCGGTGTTCAGCGGACTGTCTGTGATGCGTGGCTGTTAAATGTGCAGTTGCTCGAGTGATATAACACCACGCGCACACACACATACACAAACACATTTGCCCATCATTAATTGTCCTGCATGTCATGTGAGTGGAATAATGTTTAATAGGCTGTAGGTAATATTAATTATTAATATTAATATTATTGTTATTATTACTTTCATTAATGTTGTTGTAAGCTACTGTCATTACCGTCTGTCCTGCATCTCTCTCTGTCTCTCTCTCTGTCTCTCTCTCTCTGTCTCTCTCTGTCTCTCTTTCTGTCTCATACGGATTACTGTTAATTTATTATGTTGATCTGTTCTGTACGACATCTATTGCACGTCTGTCTGTCCTGGACGAGGGATCCCTCCTCGTGCTCTTCCTGAGGTTTCTACCGTTTTTTCCCCGTTAAAGGGGTTTTTTGCGGAGTTTGTCCTTATCCGCTGTGAGGGTCCGTCCCATGTCTCTTATCAGCAATCCTCGCTCCTCACTCCTAACTCCTAACTCCTGACTCCTTAAATGTTTTCCTAAGTGGGAGGGACTAAACAGTTAGGTAAGGTGGCTAGGTTAGGTGGTTAGCAGTAATTTTAAGGGACTTGGGACATACCCAGAGGCCCAATTCCAATCCGGCCACTAAAGACTCAAGCCCTGAACCCTCACTGACTTAATTGACATCAGCTGTAAGTGATTGAGTGTGAGAGTCTGAAAGGGCTCCGGATGCTACAAATAGGAATGGGACAGCACTTATCCCCCTCTCTACAAAATGTTGTTAACACTGGCGGCTCTGGGCGTGATAATTTATCAGTTATTGTCATCATATATTCCACACACAAAGAATA